TTTTTTGTAGTTTATTGCACTTCTTTTGCAATATGTGTAGTTATTATGGATTTAATGCACACATATTATTAAAATTTGGGATATAACGTTTGTATTGATGCATAGCGAGTTGAAAATGGCCCTACAGCATGTAAAACTACAAAGATAAGATGAAGGAGGCATTTCAGTATTTTATGAATTTGTTACTTTGCTTTCATACAAACAGAAGAATAACTTGAGGTTTGGAGGAAATGCTCGCTTTCAAAATGGAGAAGCAATCATGAAGAGGATGAAATGGAAATCACAACATCTCCGTGACAACGGAGCAAACTCCATCAGCTGAGGACGATCAAATGACACGATCGTTAGCTACAGAAGAGCCATTATCTTAATGGGAGGCAGAGAGCTCGAGCTACATGTCAGACTCTAGTTAGAGATAAATAAACGGTACCCTCACCTTCTTGTGACTCCGCCTGCAGCTTCAGGATGTCCTCGGCGCTCCCGTACTTCATGACTGAGTTGATGGATGACAGCGTGCTGACCAGCTGACTGTTGATGACCCCAAACTGGGACTGGGGCTGGCCGAACGCCTCCGCCAGCTCGGTGTAGTTCTCGGCCAGCAGCATTTGCTGCTCCTGCAGCAGCTTCTGCACACGCTCGATGTAATGGTCCAAGCTGACGCCACCGTGCGCCTGCAGGGCGGCCGGATCGGCGTGCACGGCGGCCGGCGCAGGCTTCGCCTCTGCCGTCTCCTGGCTGCCGATGCTCGCCACAGACTCAGCCGGCTGGGAGGGGCCACACGCTATGTTTCTGGTTTTTAAACCAACCAGGAAATTCTCATGGACGCTCACTGGCCCCACCCCACATTCTCTGGTTTTAGTTGAGCTCAATTTGGCGGGCAAGAGCTCCACGTCCGAGGTGGTTCCAACGGCGATCGAACGCATCTTTGCCGTTGCGTGAACGTCTTTGACGAGTCCTTCTCCGGCAGCGACGGTCCGGGTTTCTGTGACCACCGTGTTGGTTTG